ACTCGTTCTTCATTGGCTTGTCAACCACAATGATTCACTATACACAACACTCCGTATATAAACAATAACTATTTTTGAATAACTAAACACATTAATTCTAGTAAAACTATAAGATCAAATTTAGTTGGGACAAAATGGAACGGGACGAATTTTAATTCGGACGAAATGTAAGAAGACGAATTATTAGGAGACGAAATGTAATTGGGACGAATTGTAATTGGGACAAATTGTAAGGGGACGAAATGTAAGCGGACGAAATGTCAATGGGACGAATTGTAAGGGACGAAATGTAAGGGGACGAGTTGTAAGGGGACGAAATGTAGGGATACCATTATTCTGATTTAAACCGATTTTTTCAGTACTCCTGCGAGAAATAGAACCGGAACTATCAGGTTCTTGTTTAGGAACTTGCTCGCAAGGTTGGTGTGTTGAAGCAAATATTGCGAAAATCGCCTTTTCCAGCAAAAATGTCTACGAGTACCGCATAGTAGTGCAAAATCGCAGTCTTCGTGTTTTTCTGTAGATTAGATACATTTTGTGGGAACTTTTTTACTCAATATCCGTGAATACTTTTTGTTGAAAATGCGAATCTCGGAAGATTTTGTTTTTAACACGCCAAATTTGCAATCAAGGTTCCTTAAGGGGACCCTTCTGAAAAGTCAATTTTTCGAAAAAAAAATCGATTTTGAGATTTATACATATTCTGATAGCCCTTGTGATGAACTACAGCCTAGCATAATTTTTTTGCCAAAACCCATATATTGATCTTTTTTTTCTGGCAAATTCTTTTTCTGAGGATGTGCTACTGAAGCATAAAAGGTGTTTCATAATAACTGAGAATACCGTGTTAATGATATTTTCCATACTTTTGTTTGATCGATAGGGCTGAAATTTTTATGACATATAGAACTAATCAAGATCTTTTAGTTCTGAAAGTTTCAGCTCTCTACCTATGCCTAGACATGTACCAATCTCGAACACGAGTTCGAGTTTTCGAGTCAAACGTTGTAAGATTGAACTCGAATATGAAAACTCGAACTCGTCTCGAACTCGAATATGAAAACTCGAACTCGACTCGAACTCGAGTTCACATGTTCGAGTTCGAGTGGAGTTTAATCTTGCAATAATGTGGTTCGGCTTCAATAGGTGAATTTTGATCGAGTTCAATTGTGGTGCGCGTGATGGGTAAACAGAGTCTGTTTTCTATCAGGAATGAATAGTCAATCAGTGTCCGGTGGATAACTAGTTTGCTATAGGTCTACGACAACTCACAGCTGAATGAGTCGAAAGAGCTGAGCTCAAACTTATGCTGATCAGGTTTGTTTCTGTGAGCTAGCTACACCGAACAGCTTCTTTTTGTGAGCTGAGTCCTCAAAACCTATATAATGGGGGTACTCCCATGTCCTCAGGTGCTATATAATAAAGGCACTTATAGGTCCTGAAGTCTTATATAATCGGGAACTCCTAGGTTTTCAAGTGCCATATAACGGGGATACCCCTAAGTCATCAAGTCCTGAGAATACATCCCATTCCGCGATGCTGAACATTCCGGAATCAGTTCCCGTCCTGGAATCTATTCCACCGATTCCGGAACTACATTCAATCACGCCACAATCCAATTCTGGAATCATTTACAACAGATCCTATCGATTCCGGAATCCCTCACCCTTGGCATCACTCTCATTGGCTGAGGCTTATAACTGGATGTAATTCCGGATATCGTACGGATCCGGAATCGCAAGGATTTGGAAGGAATTCCGCGGAATTCCTAGTGATTACGGAATCGCATAGCCTTGGTATCACAGTCATCGGCTGAGGCTTACAACTGGATGTAATTCCGGGACGGAATTCCGAGTATCGGACGGATCCGGAATCGCAAGGACTTGGAAGGAGTTCCGCGGAATTCCTAGCGATTCCGGAATCGGTCAATCTTGGTATCACTCTTATCGGCTAAAACTTAGTAGGTGTAGACATCTTCTCATCACCCACACCCACACCCACACCCTAGTTAGTATATTGGACGTTTAGGGAAGATATTTCACCCATAATCTATCCTAGCCTAGACTAATATTCTCCGAAAAGTTTGATTGAAATCGGAGGAAAAATAGCAAAGTTGGTTTTTGAGGGGCCTTAAACACGCAAGATCAACGAAGAAAAGGGCCAAAAATATTTGAAAAGTGAATCTCACGAATAATCATAATAAAAACCGTAAGTTTTTCGCTGATTTCTCGTTAAAACCACCCTACTTGAAATTTTTTTTTAAACTGCCGAAAACAACTGTGTGGATTCTTGCATATTTCGTAACTCGCTGTGATGAATGTGCTGTAAGGTTTCCTGTAACATAGATTATTACAAGTGGACAGAATTGATCAAATAACTTCTGATGGTAATGTTTCAACAATTATGTCAATTGAAAAAATTCGACCAGTATTCGGAGGTTTATATGTCGACAGAAATCATTCATTCTTTGTGGTAGATTTTTATAATGATAGGGTATTGAAATATGATGACTGGAATAATCCACAACCAAGAGTTGTTGCCGGTGGACGGAATTGGTATTATCCTGTTAATGCCCCAAATCAATTACATGGACCTCATTCAGTGTTCGTCGATGAAATACGTGATAATGCCATGTATATTGGCGATCGCAATAATCATCGAATCCAGAAATGGATACAAGGTGAAAGTTTTGGAACAACTATTTTAAGTAATGCATCATTACCATTTTTACCAGCTCAATTTTACCCACTTTATGTACAAATTGACGAAAATGGAATGATCTATGTGCCGTATTGGTCTGGAATATTGCGAGCGTCTCTTCTTGATCTAAAATGGTTTGTGATTGTAGGTGGTATTGAGCGTTCTTGGGAATTGGAATATACAGCCTCGAAACTTGAAGATCCAGGATATTTTGTATTTGATTCAAATTTTGATTTATTTGTGAATGAATTGGGAAAAGACTCAATTTGGAAATTTTCATTTAATGCTTCTTCTTGTTAACAGGAAAGAGTGTATGATTTTTCGCTTTTAAAGCTATCGAAAGTTTATATCTTTTCGACTAAAATTAAAAACAAGTAACGCTGATCCACTTATTCGCTAGCTCTTTTCTGAACGAATAAAACGACATTTTCCGGACAACGACTGATCAAATCATGCGACGTGTTTTGCTATTCTTTGTGGGGTGTTGATGTAAGTGTGGGGTGTGGGATGTGGCTGTGAGTGTGAGTGTGGGTGTGCCGGTGTGGGTGTGGCTGTGGGTTTGGATGATTGCAGAGAAACTCGACACCTACACCCACACCCATCCATACCCACATCCACACCTAGATCCACACACCCGCACCCCACCCACACCCACACCCACCCACACCCACACCCACACCCACCCACACCCACCCGCACCCACACCCACACCCACACCCTCCAGCCACACCCACACCCACACCCACACCCACACCCACACCCACACCTACACCCACACCCACACCCAGCCACCCCACACCCTCAAGATAGCCACACCCACACCCACACCCACCCCACCCACACCCACACCCACACACCCACACCCACACACCCACACCCACACACCCACACCCACCCTATTCTACAAGTCGTACCGAATTTGACTCATTTGAAAGTTAATACATATTACATTGATTGTGATGGATATCGATGGGAAGAATTAATAGACAATTATTTGCCTAAATTGAAAGTTTTTTATCTCAGAATGCATATTGAACTTCCTGGGAACAAAAACAATGAGAAGCGTCTTGAAAAATTGCTTGATACATTTCGTACTCGATTTTGGCTTGAAAAACATCAATGGTTTATTCGTTGTCATCAGATGTTTGATGAGAAATACAAATTGATTATTCTGTATACTGTGCCTTATGGATTTACCGACTTTCATTCAAATATGTTAACCAAGCCATCTCAAACAACATGCCCTCAAAATAATGATCATGATCTATACGATCGAGTAAAAAATCTTTCTTACACTTATTCTTCATCGATAAACCGTCTTTCTTTCATTCAATTTTCTCATATTCGAAATCTTTCTATAGATTTATGTTTTGACAAAAAGTTTTGGACAAACGTTCCAATATTTTATCAACTAACTTTCATCACTATATTATCGACTGATGATGATGCTCAATTTCATTTACAATCTTTACTTGATCGAGCACCTCATCTATATTCGTTAACTATTCAATCATGGCCATCTTCTCAAATTCCTATAGTCAACAATACAAGGACATCCTTTCGTCGTCTTGATTTACGAATGAATGATCGAGAGCATAACTATTCATTCCTCAATAGCAAAGTATGTGATACTCTTATTCGCTCACCACTAGCTATGCACTGTGAAGAACTTCTAATTAAAGTTGCGAATTATGAAAGTATACTTGACCTTATCAATGGAATGGATAAACTTCGAATTTTGCAGATTCAATACAAGTTTGGTTCTCCATCTTTTTCGGATTACAAACAATACGAGAAAGAATATGAAATATTAATCAAGTGGCTACAAGATCACTTACCTGCGACGTGTTTTATTTCAAAATCCAACTACAATTATAATAATTTGAAGTTATGGATTTGTTTAAAAAAACCATAACATGGTAACAATCTATATTTAGTAACTCAAATTAGTAGCAAATCATTTTTACGGTATCAAAAAACAAGAAAATGAAAAGACTATTAAGAAAAAATAAATAAAAGTGTAAGAAGAATATAAAATAGATTTCTTTTTAAATAATTCAATTGCTAGTTCAAAATCACTACAGTTATCTGTATTTAAACCTAAAGTAGCTTATTGATTGAGAAGAAAAACGATGAAACGTCCTGTCGTGTAAAACAAAGAGAAATTCTCCTACACTATTTTGAAATTAAAAGAAGTATGATAAAATTGTTTTTTTGTGTTTACAAAAAGTGACATAGAGAGTGTGGATATGGATATCTTATTCGAGTACATCCACATCCACTCTCTCACTCATTTCTTACAACAAAAAGAATTTGTAAATGAAATCAATCTATACATAACTGTACCGAAATGATTTCTAAACAAAGAACAATATATTTGTAATATTTCCAATATAAACTCGAATATGAATAAGAGAAAACAAAAACTATTACGTCGTCTATGAGAATTACGTGAACAAAATAATAAAGGATGAATTCAATGAAATGAAAAATGATTACTTAGTCAAGTGTACCAACTAATCGAAGGATTGAAATCTATACCAGAAGGGTGTGAGTATGGAAGAAGGGAATATCCACACCCACATCCACACCCTTGCTAGATTTGACTGAGATTATACATTTACCCAAAGTGAGATAAATGCATAGAAAATTTTTTATTATAGCTCTCTGAAAAAGTTCTGTTGAAACTTAATATTTAGTATATAAATATTTAAAATCATAGAGAATAATTTAGCGTATCCATTTGTGAAAAAATATTTTAAAACAAAAATAACCAATCGGCTACAAATGTGGTTTTACTAATCAAGCCAAAAATAGCTGGAATTATACATTTACTCCACCTTACATCAACGAGATTTTACATTTATCCTAAATGGAGTAGATGTAGAATGCTGATGAAGATCTCAGAAAATCTATTACCACTACGTTATACTGCTAGATTTTTAAAAACTGATTTTATAAATCGATAGAGGAGAAATTCCTTTACATGGTTTGTGAAGAAAGTTTTTTTAAAATATTGAAAAATAAAAAATATATATAAGTTATACAAAACATGTTTGATTTTTCTTATACATATACTCCATCTGACTCTAACAAGAAGATGAATATCTCAAATGATTTCAGTTATGATATGGCTTCAAAAATGTTTCACATGTTGATGATCTTACCCGTTTTTTGAATTAATGTAAATGATCTACACCTAATTCTATTCTAGTTGCATGAGTCATGTCTAATAATATATTTAATCGTTGCAGATGACTAATATCAATAAATTTAAATAAATTGTGACGTTTGAATACAGATTCCTTGGTTAGTGTGCATTTAATTTATTTAGTTGATTTATAAAACTGAATCTTGATCTTAACACCTAATCTTCCCTTGATATTATTTTAGTATCCAACATAGAATGATCTAATAGAGCCACATTTATCAATATAGATATGTTCTATATTGAATGAGATCATTCTGTTAGTGTTTGAACATTTTTATGTACTGTAGGTAACATTGCTGGAAAGAATTTTCTATATGACATTAGATTATCTTGTTGATGCATTTCACAAAAACAGTCAATATAAAATCAAGAATTGCATTACTATGTGTCGCTTACTGTGATGGAAAAATGTGGCATACGAATTTCCACCAACATAAATCTTCAAGTATCATTATTATTCTAAAACGAATTCGTACATAGTATCAGATAACAATCCGTAAAAATTTCGTCAACACTAGACGTGGAATAATGTTGTCGGAAACTGTTTTTCGAAAGCAATGAATCTAATATGGAAATTATTTCACAAATGGAACAGTTCGTAAATGATTTATTCTGTGACAAGAACGGCTCAATATAAATTCTACTATAGCAACTAAATTTTTCATGTTGAATCGGTAGCCTTTTAAATTTTTCTTAATTTTTGCATGATCAAGTCGATGAGACTTATTCATACCGAGGACTTAACGATTGTTTGAGATGATGTTGAGATATGATCATATTAAATGTATATGTGAATATATCAAAGATCTGTGGAAACCAATGAAAACAAATTGATACTTTCTATACTCTGATGGCTGCTTTGCAGTGGCATCTCCATCATGAATAATAATAATAAAAAAATTCTACTATTAGATTTTATACAGCAAATTTCGATATCTAAAGCACCTGTCCTCTATAGTTATGGATAGTGGTTTCATGAAGTCTCGTTTAACTAAATTGGATTAAAATTTATGAAAATATCATTTTTCTCTATATTAATCAGAAACAGTAAAACAAAATATAAAATATGAAAAGAAATATTGTTCTTCAATGTACAAATAACAGTTAAAAACATTTTTGTGTAAATTTCCAATTGATATAAATATTGAATGAAATAAGAAGACAATAGTTTCTGATTGTTTAAATAAAATACAACGATGGATAATTTTTTAGAAAAAAAAATCAAGTAGGAATAAACGATGAAGATCTACATATTTTGGAATCTAGCTATAAGTGCATTAAAATATTTGAAACAATTCATTATAAAAGCATAATAATTAAAAAAGAGTCATTCGACTAGGCCTTCTTGGAGGTTGATTATCTTGTTCCGTCCATCGACCTCCTTCAACACTAGATGGAATTCGTGAAGAACGACGACGATAATTTGATGGTATTTGAATACTCTTGGCACTTAAAGTTCTTGTACGTATTCTCATTGATTCACTTGATATATCATTCTGTGATGTTGTTCCTTCTTCACCTGTCGAAATTGTTGCAATATTTTCTTTAGGTTTTTCCAAGTTCTTTTCTCCTTGTTCAGTCAAATTAACATCATTTATAGTATTTGATTCTTCTAAAAGTTTTGAAGCAGCATTACGTTGATAGAGTAAATATAAAATAGGTGATGTAAGAAATGTTAAAATAGTTGCCATTAAAACAAACATTGCAAATATTACAGGTGCTATAACTTTAAGTTGTACACCAATATTTAAAACAACTAATTGAACTATACCACGTGTATTCATTAAAACTCCCATTGATGCACAATAATTCCATGATTTTCGTGTACATAATTTTGTTGCTAATGTAACTGGAACTATTTTTGCTACAGATGCCAATAGTATAAGAATAATCAATGTCCACCATGCTCGACCTGTATTTAATAAATTCAAACGTGTTTTCAAACCACTATTAGCAAAATAAAGACTAAAATTGATATAATATATTTTTGTATCAATTAATATATGTATTAAGATTTACTTACGGTAAGAAAAATTCCACAATAATCAATTCAATACGTATGGACAAAAATTCAACTAATTCACCTTTTCGTGGAATACAAAGACCAGCAACGAATGCTCCAAAAAATGCATGAATACCTATTCAAAGAGATTTATCAAAAACAAAAAAAACTATGCTTTTGTTTATCAGCCAATTAAAAATATATTTACCCATAACTTCTGTTGTAAATGATGCAATAAGAAGTAATAAAAAGCAACCAACAACAATATAAACATTACAATCATTTTCACGACGTTCATAATAACCATGAATTAGATTAAAAATTGGTCGAATAATAACAACCATGATTAAAATGAATGCTAATGTAAGTAATAAAGTATAAAGACCTTGAAGAGCTGAACCACCTGATGAAAAAGCACTAGCTACAGCCAAAACTACCCAAACAACAATATCTTCTACGGCAGCTAAAGATATTGTTTGAATACCAATTGGTTCATTAAGTAAATTCATTGAATTTAATAATGTAGCTAATACAGGAAATGCCGAAAATCCAAAACCCGAAGCTTAGAAGAAAAAAAAAATTTCAGTTAAAACAAGAGAAAAGAAAAATCATTTCATATATTTTCTTACCAATGAATAAAATAAAAGCTGTTTTACTTGCATCTATTCCATCATTCATTTGATAGAACCACAAGGCTACTGCACATCCAATACCCACTAAAATCAAAAAATATTCATCTGAAATTAATAATATTACAATTGTAGTATACAGACCAGGAAAAATTATACTAACACAAGCAACTGGAATAGTTACTTTCCAATTTGCTTTTATTTGATCCAAATCAAGTTCTAATCCAAGAAAAAACATGAAAAATATCAAACCCAAATTGGCTATCAATTGAAAAACTTTTAGACTCGATGCTGGCCATATAGCCTCCGTCCAACCTTTAGCAAAACCTAAAAAACAATAATATCATAGAAAATAATAATTAATGTTCTTTGTTTTGTTTTGTTTTATTATCTACCGAGAATCGATGGACCAAAAATAATACCAGCAATGATTTGTCCAATAACTTGTGGTTGACGAATGAATGATAATAATTTAGCAAGAATTTTACATACAATCAATGTAATAAATACTTGCATTAAAAACATAGCCAAAGGTGATTCATGAGGATTTTCGAATAGAGTCACCATTGAATATTCTTTTAATTATATCTAAAATAATATTTTATTGTTTTTAATTATTGATAAAATGAAATAGTTATCTTTTCTTTTTTCAATATCTAGTTAATGTCTTACCAAAGAAAAACAATTATTATTTCACCATTCAAGAACAATTATTTAGAGAATATTTTAATATATATCATTCTCAAGAAGATTTTTTATCAATACTTAAAATCTAATCAAAAACAATCAAAGGTAAAATAATTTACATTATTCACAACATGTGTTTTTTACACGGAAAAAGAAAAATCTTCTGTTATCAATATTTATTCAGAAGCAATATTTTAAACTTGTCATTAAGTATCTTTCAAAAAGCCAAAATCATTATTTTAAATATCAATAAAATTATCAAATCATATTGAAAAATTTTTATCTCTAGTGGATTGGTAAATAGTAATGCTACAGTAGACACATATACAGTTTTATTCTACTTACCTATTTTAAATACTTCGAATAATGCGATATAAAAAGAAAATCGAAAATTGTAAAATATTTTATAGAACCATAAAATCGATTTATTAAAGTCAAACACAAAAAAAAAATAACATTTTCTAATGTATTGATGTATAAATAAGAAATAGTTGTTATATAATATGATTTTGTATAATTCACTTAATAATTGGTTCTTCACTACAAAGAATGTTTTCGTCATAAAAAAAAAAAAACATTGCTTGCTCTTTTTTTTCCATCAAAGTGTGATAGACATTGGTACGTGTCTGAGGTAAATAGATATGTTTATAATCGTTGATTTTGCATACTTGCTTCTATTATACAAAAAAAAAAAAGAAATATATTCATTTCAATCAGTATATGATAAAGGGGAAAACAATAAAAATAAGTGCGTAAACTATTATTGTACATTGAATAATGACATTCAAGTTTATGATGTTATACTTGCCCATCAATAAATTGATATCTAAGTTACTATACTGACTTGAGACAAGTTTGTGCATATCATCAAAACATTTTTGTTCATTACATTTTAAACCAACATCGATTTAAGATGTATCATTAACAGTGACGATCGCGAAATCTTGATTCAACAAATGACGCTGCATCGTTTATTGCGAACAAAAAAAAAACACTTATCATAATAGCACATTATACCTTTGATTGAATTGAATATATTCATATCATTGTTAGTCAGTTTATTCAAAAGAAATTATTTGAAACATAAATAAATTTTCAGTTCGATTCTATGATCATTGAATCTTTATTCGAATAGATATGATGATATAAATTGACTGATTGAAAATATCCGAATCTTATTGTTATCAATGTTTTTAGAATGATTCGAATATGATTAGTTAAACAAAACAAGATTCGATTTAATCTAACATATTGCGGAGCGAAGAAACAATAAGATTCTAATGGAAAATATTGTATTAATTTCTCATTGATCTTCTAATGAAAATCTTCTAAGTTTCTAGAACTGAGATAAATGGAATCCTATCAAATCTAGTCCAGAGATCTACAAGTCACAATATCATCTCACTGTGGGGAGATAGTGGAACATTGCAAATTTAGCGATTTCGTGTAAACTATAATATTCTGTAGTGTACAGCTAGACATGCATCGAAACTTATTGGCATAATACAGTTTTTTCTTTTAATATTTCTTATGCAGTATTAGCTATTGGGCGTGTTGTATGAAAAAACTACCTTAAGAACGGCTGAACGTATCGAGATGCCCTCTGATTTTTATGAATTTCTGGACGTGCTCTTTCTTTTGTCTAGCGGACATTTTTGTTCAAAATGCCCAGAAGTAGATTTTCTAAAAAACCATGGTTTTGGAATCAATGGTCGCGAAATTTTTTTCTGACAGTCTATAATGATAGAGTAACCAATTCTCTACAAAGTGAGATGTCTTCAAGCTCTCCATGACTATTTTGGCCGAGTTAAATCAATTTTAGTGAAGAGAAAAAGCCGTTTTTTCGTTTTTTCCTAGATGAAATAGCAGAAAAATTGGCTTTCGCCTTTCACTAAAATTGATGTAACTGTTAAAACAAAAATCTTTCGCGATCATTGGTCCCAAAACCACGATTTTCTAGAAAACCTACTTGCAGACATTTTGGGCAAAAGTGTCCACTAGACAAAAGAAAGAGCACGTCGAGAAACTCATAAAAATCAGAGGATAGCTCGGTACGTTCAGCCGTTCTTAAGATAATTTTTTCATGCAACACGTCTATTGCAACATCTGACACACGACATTTGCGTTCAACGAAAAAATGACGAAGAATTTAATGTATTATTCAAGAGAGTATAGAATTGAAAGAAAACTAAACTATCATATGAATCTGAATTTCAATCTAATAAGATTTGGTTATTGTAAATGTCTAACTGAACAATAACATTGAACTTTTCCTATGATTACCTATAAGTAGAATCTTTTCATTTTAGGTTTATATCTGGAGAAAAATTTTATAGTCACATAGTTTAATAATGAAGAAAATTGTTTTCATCCGAACAAAAACGACCTAAAACGTTTGGCCCATATTCAATTTTGATATAAAGATACCCTTCACACTACTTATCGATAACTCATCATTCCATTCTCCGTCTCATTTTCAAAGAATTTCTATTCGAAATTGTCATTTTGACTGAACAAACATTCGAACTCGTCTCGTATCCAACGGCAAAGATATTTCAATTAGTGCCTCAAATTTAAAAGAATTCTACAACCCATATCGGCATCATCCTCTCGATGAGAAATATATATTAACTTGCCGATCAACCTCAACGAAAAACTAGTTTCAGACAAGAATATTTTCCAACATACTCGATATTAGGCAACCATTCTTCGAGAAATCTAAACTATTTTCTTCATATTGATCTTGTACGACAAACAACAAGAAAGTACTGCTCGTTTGAAATCAAACAATCAAGTGGACTTATGAACATCCGACAAAATTTATAATTGAATACTTTATAAAATAAAGATAAAGTAAAGAACTAAAGGATCCTTTTTTCGAACGATAATGATGTTGGAAATGGTCTAGGATGATAGAACGTATGTTCAAAAAGATTTTTATCATCAAATAAATAAACTTGTATGTAAAACAAGCTAGTTGAGATATAATCACAGCTTCTGATTTTCTTTTCCTAGTATTTAGCAAATTTCCGTTACAAAAATGGATCCGACTTATGATGATTTGAAATATTTTTGAGATCTTTTTTTTTCATCGAAAAATTCATCTACACTCCTCCTCAGGATTTTTGGACCAAAAAAGAGATTTGGGCAATGAAAAACAAGCTCTAAAGTAGTAAAATGATAGTAGGACACAGACTGAAGAGTGTCTAAATAGTAAAGGATAAAAATCTTTCTGAACATACGTTCTGTCGTCCTAGACCACTTTCAACATCATTATTGCTCGAAAAAAGAATCCTTTTTTTTAAAAAAAAATAAAGGATAGTAAAGATAAAAGGTTACCCCTAATCCCAGATTAATGCAAACAATAATAAGATTCAATTCTTACGAAAATACGTATGACGAAATCTGTTGTTGTTTAGCATAGTGATTGCTCTTGTACTCTTTCAACCTAACAATTCGTTAATCATTAAATTTTTCGAAAGAAATGGTCTTCAATAGAACGAATTTAATGAAATCAACTTTGATGAATTGTCGTCACTTAATATCCAGCGTTGATCATTGGACAACTAATATTATCATTATATACTTACACGTGAAATGTGTCATACAATTGTGAATTTAATGGATATGTATGGTTGAATAGTTTTATTCTTATTTACAATTAATTTTTGTGAGATTTATATATAGTATCGTTTGTAAAATTCAAAGCCAATGCAAAGTTCTTGACATTTGAAAATCATTAAATAGAAAGCTGATTTCAAATATAATTTTCAAGCATTACAATTAATGAAACAACTTATTGGAGAATAGAACAAGAAAAATTAATAACAGTATATATTTCACCGATTTGAATTAATTTAAAAAATTTTTACTTTGTATCATATTTTCTATTTTAATTCTGGTTGTTTTTTGGTTCTTAGTTGATAATCTCCACTATAGTTTAATCATTTTGTCACTTTTCTCTTTCCTTTTTTTTTATAGTGTAATGTACGTAAAGGTCTGATGAGTGTTTATATTTAAATAAATAACATGAAATACATCAGTGAAATTTATTCTACGTTTGTTTAATTCTTACTTCTATAAAATATAATGGTTTACTATTGAATTTCGACTTAATCGATCGCTAAAAAGCAGTAAGAGTTGAAACTAGCAGATTGAACTTTTTTGTTTTTCTTCAAGAAATAGGTCAATCGGTTTTCGATTAATTTACCTAGTACACGTGAATAATATTTCAGTTTGGTTGAATGTAGTTTGTTAAGAAAAAGGAGGAACAGTTACTTTACATCATAATGGTAGTTAGCCGATGACCAATTACCACGTAAAGTAACAGCAATTCATGTAAAAAAACCGACAAAAAAATCTGATTTTTATTAATTTTAATCTACATTTTCGAACAAAAGTCTTTTTCTCTTTTGTCTTTGTATACTGTCGTACTTTGGATTACATTTATTACGCAGTAAAAATATGAAATGAGAGTTTTATTGCAGTGTAATCTGTACACTAAGATGAAATAAAACTTCCAGGTCATATCACTACTTAGTAATAAATTTAATACAAAGTTTGACAGCATAAAAAGACAAAGAGAAAGAACAATTTTTGCATGGAAGTGTAACTTAGCGGTATTGTGGGTTGTCCAAGGGAGTATGAGTTGGTAGCATATGTGAAAGTGTATCCAAGATAGTGCTAGTACTATACTTACTTAGTCATAGCAATTAAAATTGATCTAAAATCGAGTAAAATCAGGTTTTTTTTTATATGGGAAGGATCGGTTACCGGTTTGAACCGGTGCAACGCTGACGATGGAGCGATGATTCACCGTCACCATTGCATACCTACACTCCAATGTGGAACACTATTTTCGGTCTATATTATAACTTTTT